TAGTTCTCCAGATCGCCTTCCGAGTAGACGGTGTTCATGGCGGCACCGGAGAGCACGTATGACGGGCGCACCAACACAGGGTACGAGACCGTCTTGCAGAACTCCTTGGCCTCCTCGAAGCTCGTCAGCTCCTTCCAGGTCGGCTGGTCAACGCCAATCCGGTCAAGCATGCGCGAGAACTTGTACCGGTTCTCGGCGGTGTCGATCATCTCGGGAGAAGTGCCGAGGATACGCACGCCAGCTCGGAAGAGGGGGAGCGCGATGTTGTTGGGTGTTTGGCCGCCCATGGCGCCCACAACACCGCTCGACGACTCGACCTCATAAATATCCAGGATTGTCTCGATGTTGATGTTCTCGAAATACAATCGGTCCGCTTCATCGTAATCGGTGCTAATCGTTTCAGGGTTGACCAACGGGGTTGTTAGTATGATGCCAAAACAAGCGGAATGTGTTTTGAGGCTGCGGAAGCAAGGAGCGAGGGCTGGTGGTGCTTATGATCTGGGGAGGAGTGATAGGGTCAAACCCCAAGTTAAATTGGAGTTGATCTTCACGTCAACTCCCATGTCTCACCTGGGCTGATAGTCCAAGCCAAACTTGACACACACTTGTGACCAAGTTCAGCGTCAGGAAATCCCCAGTTCACGTTCCAGCAGCACCAACTCCAACCTCGACAATACGGTAGGCATCACGAGTCCGAAAAGAGCAAGAAAATGCTCGACTCGAGCGAGAGCGGCCGGGAAGGTAGGTGTCGGGGGGATGTCGGGGGTGTTGAGGGGGGAATCACAGGTACTTACATTAACCATGATCGTCTTGAACCCGTTCTCGCGCAGCGTGCGGATGGACCTGACGGTGCACCAGTCGAACTCCACCGAGGAGCCGATGCGGTACACGCCGGAACCCAGCATCATGACGCCGTGGTCGTCAAAAGTGAGGTCGTGCTCGCTGGCGTTGTATGTCATGTACAGGTAGTTGGTAACCGCGGGGAACTCGGCGGCGACGGTGTCGATCTGCTTCACAAAGGGGGTGATGCCAGCCTCGAGACGCATGCCACGAATGGCGAGCTCGGTCGAGCCCCAAAACTTGGCGATCTGGCGATCAGAGAAACCAAGCTGCTTGGCCTGGAGGAGGACGCCGGGCTTGGGCGAGACACCGGCAGCCTTGAGGTCCTTCATGCGCTTGACAAAGTCGCTCAGGCCCTTGAGGCGGTCCAGGAACCACTTGTCGATCTTGGTCAGCTCCCAGATCCGCTCAACAGAGTAGCCGGCAGCCATGGCGTTGGCGATGGCGAAGAGACGCTGGTCGGACGGGGTCTGCAGCTCGTCGTCGATCGACATGAGCGCCGGGGTCTCGTTGAAACCCAGGTTGTGGAAGTCGATGGCGCGGATGGCCTTTTGGATGGCTTCCTCAAACGTCCTGCCGATGCTCATGACCTCGCCAACGCTCTTCATGGAGGAGCCGAGCTGAGTCGAAACACGGGTGAACTTCTTGAGATCCCAACGGGGCATCTTGACCACGACGTAGTCGAGCGAAGGCTCGAAGCAGGCGCAGGTGACCTTGGTGACGCTGTTCTTGATGTCCTTGAGCGGGATGCCGAGACCCAGCTTGGCGGCCACAAAAGCAAGCGGGTAGCCGGTAGCCTTAGAAGCCAGGGCCGAGGAACGGGACAGTCTGGCGTTGACCTCGATGATGCAGTACTCCTTGGAGAAAGGGTTAAGGGCGTATTGGATGTTGCACTCGCCGACAACACCAAGGTGGCGGATGACGTTGACGGCTGTCGTCCGGAGCATGTTGTAGTCCTCGTCCGAGAGCGTCTGAGACGGGGCGACGACGATCGAGTCGCCGGTATGGATGCCGAGAGGATCAAAGTTCTCCATGTTGCACACTGTAATGCAGTTGTCCTGGCAATCCCGAACAACCTCGTACTCGATCTCCTTCCAGCCCTTCATGCTGCGCTCGATCAGCACCTGGGGGCTGGCGGCGAAGGCCTTGTTGCAGAGATCAAGGAGCTCGGCCTCGGTGTTGGCGAAACCGCTGCCGAGACCACCGAGGGCATACGCGGCACGGACGATGACGGGGAAGCCAATGTCCTTGACGGCGCGCATGGCCTCCTCGACGTTGTTGGCCGAGGCCGACTTGGCGCACTTCTCGCCAATCGAGTCCATGCTCCGGGCGAACAGCTCGCGGTCCTCGGTGGTGATGATGGTGTCAATCGGGGTGCCGAGGACCTGGACACCGAGCTTCTCAAACTCGTCCTTGAGCTGGATGCCCACGGACAGGGCAGTCTGGCCGCCAAAGGTGCAGTAGATGGCATCAGGCTTCTCGTAGACGATGACCTTGCGCACGAACTCAGCATTGACCGGGAGGAAGTAGACCTTGTCGGCGAGGCCCTTGGAAGTTTGGATGGTGGCAATGTTGGGGTTGATCAGGACCGTGTAGATGCCTTCTTCCTTGAGCGCCTTGATGGCCTGGCTACCAGAGTAGTCAAACTCGCCGGCCTGGCCGATGCTGAGACCACCACTGCCAAGGACAAGAACCTTCTTGACCGAGACGCGGGGGTGCAGCCTGTTGTTCTCCTCGACGGTGCCGCCGGGGAACGTGACGCCCTTCTGCAGCAGGCTGCTGTCGGCGGCGCAGTCGGCTACGGTCTGGATGAAGACGTCAAACAGGAACTCGGTGTCCCTGGGGCCGGGGGTACTCTCGGGGTGGAACTGCACGCTGAAGTGCGGCTTGCCGACGTGCATGACACCCTCGTTGCTGCCGTCGTTGGCGTTGACAAACAGCTCCTGCCACCCGGCAGGCAGGGTGGCGGCATCGACGGCGTAGCCGTGGTTCTGAGATGTGATGTGGCACTTGCCCGTCACCATGCTGGTGCAGGGGATGTTGTGGCCGCGGTTACCAAACTTGAGCTTGACCGTCTTGGCTCCGGCGGCGCGGGAGAGAAGCTGGTGGCCAAGGCAGATGCCGAAGATGGGTGTGCGGTTCTCCGTCAGGGCGGCGGCGATGCGCTTGACGGTGGACTCCATGATGGCCGGGTCGCCGGGGCCGTTGGAGATGAACAAGCCATCGTATGTCTCGGCGCTGAAGTCGTAGTCCCAGGGGCAGACCAGGACCTCGACGCCGCGCTTGAGGAAGCACCTCAGCTGGTTGTATTTCATGCCAACATCGAGGCAGAGGATGCGGAGGGGGCGGCCCGAAGGGTGCTTCAGGGCGGTAGCGGCGGGCGGGCTGTACAGCTTGGGCGCCTTGATGGAGACTGTTTACGCACGCAGCGGCAGTTAGCAAAGGAGCCGATCAAGCAACTCGGGGTGCCGGGGGCAGTGCAGACTAACCCTCTGCTACGAGGTTCCTCTCGTTGGGGTTGACCCAGTCGACCGTCTCGAAGCTGGGCTTCCAGTTGCCCGTGATGCCCGGGAGGGCGAGGTCGTTGGCGTCGCCGTTGACGCCATTGGTCAGGCCCTCCTTCGCCAGGAGCATGCGGCCAAGCATGCTGCCCTTCTCGCGGATGCGCTTTGTCAGGGCGCGGGTGTCAACGCCGTACATGGCCGGGATGCCCTGCTCCTTGAGCCATGTGCCGAGGGACGAGTTGGCGAGGAAGTGGGAGAAGTCCTCGCCGGCATAGGTTGCTGTGACGAGACCGGCGATGTGGATCTGGTTCGACTCGAAGTGGGCGGGGAGGTCGCCGAGGAGCTCGTCAAGGGTTTCTCTGGGGGGGACACCGTAGTTCCCGACGAGGGGGAAGGTGATGACGAGGATCTGGCCGCGGTACGAGGGGTCTGTGACGGACTCGGGGTAGCCCACCATGCCCGTCTGGAAGACCAGCTCGCCAGAGATGCTCTTGGGGGCGCCGAAGCTGTAGCCCTGGTAGGCAGAGCCGTCCTCGAGCTCGAGGGTGACCAGCCCTTGGGGCCCGGCGTTGGAGATGCGGGCCGTGGCTGGCCGAAAGAGCGTGGCAGCCATTGTGAAGGATATGTGTCTGTGTGTGTGTGGTGGAAGTGTGGTGTGCTGTGGTGTGTGTCTCCTGTGGGAGGAGGGGAGGAGGGGAGGAGGGGAGGAAGTGAGAGGACTGGGGAGGGGTCCAGAAAAGTTGTGAGAGAGAGTGAGAGAAAAAAATGAAGGACGAGTGCGGGAGAGGGCCAGACAACCGCGGCGCAGTCAGTCTGTCAGTCAGTCGCACAGTCACAGGCGCCGTCTGTCTGTGAGGGTCGCAATCGAGGTCGGCGTCGCGTGTGGTGGTGGGGTTACGAGCTGAGGGCGAGTGCAGCAGCTCAGGGACCGAGTTGGGGATTGCGGCAGCAATTGGGCTTGGTGGTTGCCAGAAGAGAGAGAATGTTTCACCCACAGACTGTCATGATCCAGCTGAGCCAGCCCTTCTTGCAAGCACACGAGCAGACGGGAGCAGGAGGGCGGCGAAAAGCTGGCCGTCTGAAGAATTTGTATGAGTCTCGACAGCCCTGGCAGCCCCGCCACACACGGCAAAAACGACGCCCTCCCCACCGAGCCCACCAGGCTTGGCCAGGGCGGTGATGCGCTAGCGCGGGGTTTCCCAGCAGCCGAAGAGGCAATTGCCTGCACTCACGGGCCAATGACAGCGCATGCCTGCAATTGCCTGCAGCAGAGCTGCTGGGTGCGCTCTCGCCTGGCTGGGCAGGCACCGAGCCCGCCGAGTTTTTTTTTGCAGGGAGCCAATCAGCGCGCCAGCAGGGCCGATGGCGGGGTCGTTCGCGTGGGCTCCCGAGCCTCGCTGACAGGGGTCATGCTGCGCCAGAGTCTGATTTTTGTGACCGCTTCGAGATCGGATTTTTCACCAAATCTCCCCCACCCTCCTGCTTCGGAGCCGTGGTATTTTCGAGCACCATCTTTATCGTGTGAGCCCCTCGATGCCCAAACACTGTCGAGTCTGAAAAAAATAGCGATTTGCTCTCGAATGAATCCAATATCGCTGAAAACACGGAAATAAATAAGACAACAGAAAAAACCTCCCTTCTCAGCTGCTGGTGTTTCGATCCACCCAGGGGTCGAACCTGGAACCTCCTGATTACCGCACTCCTTAGAGGAGATCGTAGTCAGACGCTCTGCCATTGAGCCAGCGGACCTGTCATGCTTGTTGGAGGGGCAGCCCGATGTGCATGTGAAAGGCTTGGTGTTGTTCAGGGATGGGTGGGATGCTGCAGTGGGATGGCCGAGAGCGGCTCTGGTCTCCAGTGCAACGAGCCCCAGGGTTTGGCGGGGCTCTGGGTGACTTAAGTGCGCCTGTGCGCCCAGAGGCTGCCGCCCTCAGGGCAGGGAACCTAGGGGGTTGTGGATGGGATTCCGCGCACGACGAACAATCCAGACATGGCTTGCTGTTTGAATGGAATATGTCAAACACGTACCTACCCACAGCTGCCTGCTTGTTGAGAGCAGATGTCTCGAGCTTTCATTCTCAGTTCTGGTCCTGGGAAGCCGCCCAAGCATTTGGTTTCCGCTTTTGGCAGGGACGCAGCGATGTGGCCAATGCTCTGTCAGGGTGGGTCCAGATGCCCAGTTCAGTTGGGCAGGGATTAAGACCCAGCCGCGCCCACACAGAAACGGAAATGCTCGCTCTGTTTCACGATTTGCATCCACGTCCCTGCCACGGCTTCTCATCTTGACATTTCCGACCAGACCATCTCTGTACACAGTATCTGCCCTGCGCGAAACCCGTCTACAGCGCCCCCATCGAATCCCGTCGAACCCAAAAGGCCTGGGCCTGATCTCGCCTCACGACAATCTGCAGCTTTCGCATCAGGTGCGGCCTCGCTAATGCACGGCATGGCCCGCCGAGTGCCTTCTCTTCTCCACACCGTCGCTACCCCGCCGCCTCGCTCTCTTGGGCACAGCATGGAGCATGGATGCGACGGTGAGCATTACGCGACCGATACGCCTGGACGGCGTGGGGGATATGAAGGGGACATGACTGGCTGCCCTCTCTTCTGTTTCAGATGATGGCTGCCAGAATTGAGACATGGCCATCCATCCCCCGCGCCATCCTTGGGCTGCATTGTACGAGTCTGTCTGGACGTATGATCCAAACAAGCCTTGGGTTGACGCTTGACTCGTCGGTCGGCTGGGTGCGGCTGTCTTGTTTTTCTCTCCCCTTCTGCGGTTCCGGTTTCACTCTCTTCTTCTTCCGACGCAGAGGCAATCCGCCCGGTGTTTGTTGTGTGTTTGGTCGCTCTTCGACGCACCATCCGCATTCCTCCTGCTCCTCCTCTCCTGTCTATCTTCTCCGATCCGCCCTCTCGAGATGTGATCGACAAGGGCGGATGGTGGTTGATTCAGTCCCATGGAGGGTCGGCGAGCGCCATGATAGGCGCCGCCCGCTGCACTGCATGGTGGAGCAGTGGAGCAGCTGCACCTCGTTGCAGGCGGCGCATCCTACCCTGAGCACCGCGAACGGGACCCTGCTGCGGGCCCCGCCCTCACCGTCGGTCATGGGGGCCGCCGCGGGGATCTGGGCTGCCCAGTCCGCAATAGCGACATGCAGCGCAGCAGCCTCCTCACCAACCCGCTTGGCAGTCCCTCAGGTCGCGCCCCCCATCCGTCGCCGTGCTGCCGCTACAACTGCCGCCCCGAGGCCCTCTATTCGTCGGGACGGAATGGTCGAGGTCTGGCGGTGTAGCCTCTTGCGGGATGGGGGATCGGATGGGGGATCGAAAGTGGGAGGGAGGGCGGGAAGGGTGGTGGGAGGTATGGGAGATACAGACGAACTCGTGGGATTGGGACAACCCAGAGACCGAAAAGACGAGGATGCCTGTGGTCTTATCCAAGGCCCTGTCCGTGCTGCTCGAATTGGCGAGTGGGAGCGCGCCCAGAGGGGTGTGGGCGTGTGTTTTAGCGCTGCGCAGGGATTCCCCAGCTGACCCTCCTCCTGACGACCCCGGTCTGTCAGGTCGATCAGTCGACGGCGGCGGGCCCCTTATTAGCCCGTGCCACCACCCGCGCTGCCCTCGCCAACTTCCTGGCTCGAGGCCAAGTCGCGCTCCACGCGCTCCGACTCTTGTTCTCTTGGGAGGATTCTCGACGACGGTCTCGAAGGAGGGTTCCGGGCTGGAAGAAGGACAAGAAGCGAAGAAAAAAGAGGAGGGAGCATGCCCAACTAGGCCCGCCAATTGCCTTCTGTCGAACGGGCCCAACCGACGCTGCAGCGACTCGCCCGATCTGGCGCTGCCCGCAGCTGTGTAAGCTGGGAGACACCGCACCGGAAGACAGCACGGCGCGTGTTGGACGACCACCGAACCGCCATTGGACGCTTCCCGAACACCTACCCCCGACCCATTCGACCCCGGCCACACCTTCGACATCTCCCATGGCGTTCGGCCGCCGCTGCTGATCCGCCTGGCACTCCGAGCCCCATCAGAGGATGTTGTCTGCCCTCCTGCGACCCTTCAAGGGCAGCAGCAGTCAAGCCCAGGACCATGGCGACCCCGAACACGACATAGCCTTCCGCCCCTCGATTGCCGAGTACCGCCGCCATCTCCACGCCACAGCAGACTTCACTGAGGCCGACGACGACGATGAGGAAGACGAGGAGGAGTCCAACAATGGCGAACAGTCTCGCTATCCACGCGGGTCCCGTCCCGGCGAGGACGACGAGGATGGCCTGGCTCGAGCTGCCGGCCTCTTGCCCCTTTTCTCCGCCAACCAACTAGGTATGACCCGCCGGCGGCTACCACGAGCCTGCCAGCATGACAACATACGCGGCGGTATAGCTAACCAGATCTCCCGTTGCAGACTCGATCCCCATATACAGCATAACCCACGCGATTCGCATCCTCGTCCAGGCCCGAACCGAAACCACACTGAGCTGGGATCAGCTCCGGTCTCCGCAGGTGTCCCAGTTTTTGATAAAACCCATGCTGCAGCTGATCCGCGCCCAACACTTTTCCCCTGGCACCCTATACGCCTTGCTGGCAAACTGTCTGCAGTTTGAGAAGGAGGGGCACCTGGACTTGGGAAATGCGGGAACCAGCGCCACCAGGGCGAGGGTGTGCGAGCTCCTGGCCATCAAGCTGCTCAAGGAATACGCCACGCGGGAGCTCATCGACGCTCTCTGCTACGACTTCTACCCGCTCCAGGGCGTGCCGGGATCGCCACCAACACTTGGCCCTGGCGCCAGCCGACCGTTGCTGCCCGCCCTCAGAACCTCAACCCTCGAAGTTGCCATCCGCGCCTCGGCCAAGCACTTCCTGTCGCACCCGCTTGTCGTGCAACAGCTGGAAGCCATCTGGAACGGTGCTATCAACTTTTCTTCCCGCGCAGATGCGCCCCAGCCTCAAGGCTCCGCCGCGAGCGCCATCGGCAGCAACCCTTCTCGGCGTCAGAGTACCGTCCGTACACCGTTACTGAGTGACCAGCGGGCAAAGGCAGAGTCCGTGCGGCTTCAGTCGTTGCCCGCCGGCCGACACTCTGTGTCTCTGTACAACCCTCGGACTGCCTCGCCGTTCAAATTGTCACGGTTGCGAGTGCCACGATACCGACGGATCCTCTCCACGTGCTCGCTCCTGGTCCTGATATTCCTCTTCCTAGCCGTCTTGGGCCAGAGGTCGAGCAGGATCACCAAGCTGGAGCTCCTATTTTGGTTCTGGAGCGCGGGTTTTATGCTCGACGAGCTCGTCGGCTTCAACGAACAGGGCTTCTCGTTCTACGTGATGAGCTTCTGGAACATCTTCGACCTGGGCATCCTGATGCTCCTGATTGTCTACTACTGCATGCGCATCTATGGCGTGTTCCTCCTCGACCCCCACAAGTGGAACCAGAACGCCTACGATGTGCTTGCGCTCAACGCCATTCTCCTGCTGCCGCGGGTTTTTGGCGTGCTGGACCACTACCGCTACTTCTCTCGGCTGCTGGTATCCCTCCGCCTGCTTGCGATCGACTTGGCTGGCATCTTGGTCCTGCTGTTCATCTGCTGCGGCGGGTTTTTCGTGTTCTTTGCTTTTTCCAAGAACGCGGACCACCCTGCTGCGCTGGCGTACAAGATGTTTCAGATTCTCGTCGGATACACACCGACCGCCTGGGAGATGTAAGTGCCGTCTTGTTCGTGTAAACGTGAACTGCATAAACTGACGGCGTTTTCTTAGGTGGCCAGCATACAACTGGATGGGGCAGAGTCTGATGGGCCTGTTCATCGTCATCACCCACTTCATCATTCTGTAAGTGACGCGACTGAATTGCCTTGGGCAAGCGAAGACTAACCCTCGATACTAGGACAATGCTCATCAGCGTCTTGACCAACTCGTTCGCCTCCATTACGTCTAAGGCGAGCCAGGAGTACCAGTACGTCCACGCCCAACCGCTTTGCTGCCCAGCACTGACAAATTTTAGGTTTGCCTTTGCCATCAACACTGTCTCCATGGCCAAGAACGATGCCCTCTTCTCCTACATTGCCCCCAGCAACATCTTTGCTTGGGCTCTGATGCCCCTGAGATACTGCATGTCCTTGAACTACTACGTGTGGCTTAACCGGGCAGTCATCAAGATCACCCACTGCCCCATTCTGTTCTGCATCTATCTCTACGAGAAGTTCTTCCTGGCGCCCGACATGTACGAGGCGACGGACCTGGTGGATAAACCCCGCCGCGGCCGCCAGCACGGATATCCGGACCCGGCGGGGGGCTCGGGATTCTTCAGCCCCAGCATCCGGGTTCGCGAGGAGTCCGTGGTGGGCTACCACAAGGACCGCGCCCTGGAAGAGGTCTTCCGGCGCACGCCAGACACGCGGACGCAACGGCGCCACGAGCGGCGAAAGACTCAAACGGCAATCCGAAGCTGGATGGACAAGAATGACGGGACTTTCAACTCGCCGCAGAACTACTCGACTATCGACAGCCGGCTGGGCAGTGATTGGCTCAGGAGGCTGAGTGCGAATCGTGAACGGCCGTCGAGGGTCCCGCGGAACTACTCGGAAGTCCGGTCAACGGCGAGTGACCCCGCCGATTTCATCTCGGACATGCCGCACACCATGGTGGCCGAGATGTACAACGACGGGATCGCAAGGAGAGACTACGCGTTCGAGGTGAAGGACAACACGGATGGCGACGGGGATGGGGACGATGAACTGGTGACAAACGAC